CCGCCAGCCCCCCTGCGCAGACCGACGCGGCCCGCTCGGACGCTCCGCGCTCGACTGGGCGCGCCCGCTCGCGCGCCGCTCGGAACGCGCCGGCTCGACCGGGCGGGGCCGTCATGGATTGGACGGGGCCGCCCGCGTCGACGCCGTCGACGCGCCGGCTTATGACGGGGGAGGGAGGGGGGGGGAGGGTAGAGGGGGGGAACCCGCAGGCGGGGGGGCGCGCCCGGGGACCGGCGCCAGGCCCCACGTCTCTCGAGCACGGCGCCCGCTCGCCGCATCTGATATCGAAGGTTACGTGGGCCATCCTGTCTACCTGAACGCGGTGCTGCTGATCGTGTCTTCTTGTACGCCCGCTGACGGCCCGCTCGATCGTCGCCGCTGACGTCGCCTCGACGCGCTCGACGCAGCGCTCGACGCGCTCGACGCTCCCGCTCGCGCCCGCCTCGACGCCCCGCTCGAGCTCGCTCGACGCCGTCGATCGCCCGCTCGACGCTGATTTCGTGACGCCCCCGATCGGTCCCGCTCGACGCTCGGCTCGACGCCCGCTCGACGCCCGTCGACGCCCGCTCGGGGAACCGCCGGGTCCCCCGCTCGAGGCCCGCTCGACGCCCGCTCGACGCCCGCTCGACGCCCGCTCGACGCCCGCTCGACGCCGCTCGACGCCCGCTCTCGACGGACCTGTTCCGCTCTGACGCCCGCTCGACGTCCGCTGCGACGCCGTCGACGCCCCGCGACGCCCGCTCAGACCTCCGCTCGACGCCCCGCTCGCGATCCCCTTGGTGGCCCGCCCGCTCGAAAACCCACAAAACAATGGATTCTTATTACACATGTTAGCAAGATTTATCCCAATTTTTTCTTTCGTAGGTGTTCCGCATGAAGAGTTTGGTGTGGATATTTCACCAATTTTTTCAGCTACAATACTTTCTCTACACTTGCATAATCAATACGAGAATGTAAACCAGTAAAAGTCAAACTATATAACTAGGCACCTGTGGTCATATGCAACTTATTTCAACAGTATAGGATTAGTAGTCATTTATTCTCTTTCCAATAAGAACATACATGAAATCAATTAAGTGTTCAAACCCGCGTGCCAACTTTTTCATTGACGTACGATTGGTGTACCTTTCCCCCGCCCGACTACAGAAAAACAGTTGAAGGTAAAACCGATGTAGAGCGCTACACAACATTCATAAACACTAACACTGACGTGCACTTAATCTATAGCTGATATTTTCTTTGTTTCGAGGTGTTCGCAATAAGAGTTTTGGTGTCGGATATTCACCATTTTTTCAGCATTACAATACTTCCTCTACATTGCATAATCAATAGCGAGAAAGTAAACCAGTAAATATCCAAACCAATATAATCTAGGCACATGTGGTGCATATATGCAATTATTTCAATAGTAAGGATCAGTAGTCATTTATTTCTTCTACCAATAAAACATACACGAATCAATTTAAGTGTTCAAACCCACGCAACTTTTCTTGACCGATGGTGTACCTTCCCCCGCCCTGACACAAAAAACAGTTGAAGGTAAAACGCTCGTAGCGAGCGCTGACAACAACATTCTAAACACACCTACACAAACTATTCGCTACTTAAGATGAGATTCTCTGTTCGTGTTTTTCTCCAAAAAATCTAAAAAATGACCGAAGCATGTCCAAACCCTCACAGAAACACTTATGCTCCTTGTTGAAGTTGGCACGCCATCTAATGAGAAAGTTACGAATGTATGACTCATACTAGAGAAATTGGCATTGCTCCATATACTCTTGGGTCCAATTTCGTACCTCTATTTTGTAGCTCGCTACCCGCATTTCTCCAAGCCATCAGTCAAGAGAAGTTTTGCGTTTATTACAGTATTTGCACCACATTATAACCTAAAAACAAAAAAATTGGTAACCCTGCCTTTTATCGTGTAGGGCCCCCGCGAGCACTCAGGATTGCCGCAACGCGATGTGGCATGGACTCGACTAATGTCTAGAGTGCTAGAGGCAATTGACACCATGAATATGCAGGGCTGCCCATAAACTCGTAAGAGTACGAGGGAATGGAGATCTCTTCTGAACAGCACGTTGCATAGTATCCCAAACATGCTCAATAGTGTTCGTCTGGGGATTTTGGTGGCCAGTGGAAGTGTTTAAATTCAGAACAGTGTTCCAGCAGCCACTCTGTAGCAATTCTAGACGTGTGGGCTGTCACAGAGTCATGCTGGAATTGCCCAAATCCTTCGGGATGCACAATGGACATGAATGGGTGCAGGTGATCAGACAAGATGCTTACGTAGGTGTCACCTGTCAAAGTCTTATCTAGACGTATCAGGGGTCTCGTATCACACAAACTGCACACTCCCTATACCATTACAGAATTCACGTGTTTGAACAGTACCCCGTGGATAAGTAGGGTCCATGGATTCATGAGGTTCTCTCCGTACTTGTACATGTTCATTAGCTCGAATCAATGTGACACGTGACTTGTTAGACCAGGCAGTGTTTCCAGTCATCAACAGTCCAATGTCGGCGTTGATGAGTACAACGATTTGCGTCGATTTGCGAGGCGTAACGATTTGTGTCGTGCAGTCATCACGGGTCCACGAGTGGATTTTCTGCTCTGAACCCCCATATCGATAATGCCTCGTTGAATGTTTTGCATGCTGACACACGTTGATATTCCAGCACTGAAATCTACTGCAATTTGTAGAAGGGTTGCATTTCTGTCAGGTGTAATGATTCTCATCAGTCGTCGTCGGTTCTTACACGATTGTTTTGCCGCCGCAGCAATGCCGGAGATCGTCATGTTTTATCGGATTCCCGATATTCACGGTACACTCGTGAAATGTTTTAGGGAAAATCCAAATTTCATCGCGATAACGGAGATGCTATGCCCCATCTCTGGCGCCGACTATAACACCACTATCAAACTCACTAACCTGCCATTGAAATATCAGGGACCGATCTTACAACTGTGCCAGACTGATGGTCTTATATAGTTTTGCCGACCGTAGCGTCGTATTCTGCTTGGTTATAGATCTTTCTATTTAAAAACGCATGGCTGTAACAGCTTTTTGGCTCTTCAGTGTATAAGGAACGATTACACGCTTGTCGTGATTACAAAGAGATGAGTTTCCAATATTTGAATACCATAATCAACGATGAAAACTTTTTAAAGTGAACGAAGTGTATTTGTTAGTTCTAAATTAAATTTATTACCTTCCTAAATTTATTTTCTATCATAAAAAATATTATCTACAACATCACATCAAGTTCCAATTCCTCAAGATATCTTGAAATAAGGTCATGTTCAATATTTCGAAAATATGAGTAGATAGCGTGTAATTTTGCGCAAAAGATAAACAATTATACTTTTTGTACGGTAACAAATTTTTCGCAAAAATCGCAGATTTTTTTTTTTTAAAGTTTCTCCTCAATTACGTCATGAGCCGATAAAAAATATGGTACTAGTCTCACTTTCGGCAAACTCCGTGAGCTTTCGAAAAGAGCAAAAAAGTGAACCTTTCAAAAACACAAAAATGAAGATAGAGACGTTTACTTTAAGGAAGTCTGTTGTAAAAATCAGCTCTTTAAAAAGGGTCACGCATTTTTTTTAAAAAAAGAAAAATAAAGTAATAGATTTTCCGTAATTTGTGTCTAAAATTTATACAGTTAAAAAGAAATGTCAAAAACAACTCCAATTTTTTCGTTCAATTATCTCTTCGTATATAACAAGGCACGATAAAAATTACTCCGTATTTTTGAACTCTCAGTATTTTCGAAATGGCAAAATTTATGTGTCAAAAATATTGGTTTGGGACAATTTAATTTTTAAGCGTTTCTATAGCGTAGTGGTTTGGCTGACGGCGAGTTTACACAGTGGACCTGAGTTCGAGTTTCGCTGCGGAAAAAATGTAGCTCGTTGAAAACACTGAGTCATGTTTTTGTAGTAGTATACTATACAGAATCAGTTGTAAATAAAGCGAGAACGTATGTGCTATTGTACCTTCTAGTTCAATTTATATTTGGTGTTAGTGGCACAGAAAATGCAATATTATAAAATTACGAAACCGTATCCAATAACGCGAGAAAGTATGTGCTGGTGTAGCTCCGTAAGTTTTGTAATTAACTGGGAATTTAGTTTTTCCCTTTTGAACATTTTGTGATTTCTACTTGTGTATCCTAAAATTCGGAGGTGATGTTATGGAAGTACTTCCTGTTCAAAAATAGTAAGGAAGAATTGCATTCTTCATAAATGCATTTTCATATTTTCTAGGAATGGGAGAGTGGCCAAAGAAGAGAAAAGGAAATTGCTAGTAAGGAAGTTGATCGTTTGCGTACTTCAATACAGACATTAACAAGAGCGGCCAATCCTCTTGGAAAATTGATGGATTTTCTCCAAGAGGATGTGGATGCAATGCAGAGAGAGCTTGAACTGTGGAAAACCACAAATGAGCAACTTCAAGTAGAGTTACTTGAGGAACAAAGGTATGTACATTCTGCCAATATTTCTGTTTTCTGTAGTTTCTTTTCATTTCGATATGTAGTTTTTTGTTTATCCTACAGTAAAACGCTTCTTTTTACAGTTTGACAGAAGAATCAGTTGAACCAATGAAAATTCATTTAGAGCGGCTGCAACAAAGTATTAGTGAAAAGTTAGATGAAATTAGTGCCTTAAAAGCTACTATTCTGAGAAATGATATAAAAATTCAGAAACTTGTAACAGCTGGATTTGTACAAAAGTCTGATGTTTTTGCTTAATGTGTTTAGTTCAATTTTAAAAATAATTAGTTATAAATCTGTAACATACATATCAACATGTAAAATATAATTCAATTTCATGTATTTTTGTGAATTGGTAATAATTTAAATAAACATGACAAAGATATAATATTGTTATCATCTTATTTATACCTTATTATTGCGGTTCATGCGGATTTATTAATCTCAATATTCTGTTGTATCTATTTTTCGAGAATATTCATATTCATCATCCTTAATTTCTAGCCATTTAAGATGTGTCACGGACACTACCCTGGGTCCAACAGACCCATCTTCTCCATCGCGCTACTTTAAAGATACAATTATGTGGTTGCATTTTCTAATAATTTTCTTTTTTAAATGAATCATTTTTCATGAATACATGAATAAATTAATTGTTTTTATTTTTGTTGTATTATTTTTTACTGACTGACCGGACGGACGGGCGACGGGTAGACGGACGGACGGACGGACGGGCGTACGGACTGACTTGTTTTGCCAGATTTGTCCCCGATTAAGCATGTGTGGGGCCTGATGGGCCAACGCCTGACCCGTGCTGCGACTTCCCCAGCGTTTTAGTGTTTTGTTTTGGGTATCTGGCTAATTTGGTTCGTATGACGAACATTATACAAAATTATCAACATAACTCAAGAGTGAAGTTGCAGTTTAGTGGCAATGTCATATTAAGAATGTAGTATTCCTTTGCATAACAGATTCGAAATTCTGGTTAATGAACATTATTGGTTGTATCTCATTATACATCAATAATACAGATATTTTGAAATATCTTGAGGTTTTGAGTCACATTAGATAATTGCAGTTTAAACATAACGTGTTTTATATTTAGAGATCTTTGTTATTATTTTAAAATTCACCTAGGAAAAAAAAGAACCAAGTGTTATATCGCGTGTTGTGAACAGCATTGGACCTGGGTGGATTGATTTTCACTTCAAAGTTGATCATCTTGATATTGCACAGCTGATCATCGAAATTAAATACCACAAACTCAAATATGAACCAGATTATATGGAAATAGACAATCTTGAACATTGGAAGATCATCGGCGCCCATCGCCGTTCGGCCGCAGAGGGGGGGGGGAGTTGCGGTCGAGGACCTCTGCGGGCGCCTGGGAGCGGAGGCGCGTCGCCCCGCGTCGCGATTAACCCAATCGGGGAACTTGTGTCTCCCTTCTGGCAACTGCATTAAATTGTGTTTCAAACTTTCCTCCGCTTTCTTGGAGAATATCCCGTTTCCAGATATCCCGGGTCAATCGTTTGTCCGATGTCCTTAAACGAGAGTTTAATTTGTTTGGTTTTTTAATCCTATTTTTCAAGCGAGTTCACCCTACTTTCTTTCCTTTTTAAATTTCCTTTCACACTATCATTACTCTTTATTATTTGTGAATATTTAACCTTAATTTTATTCGTTTTTTTCCCTCCTCATGTCATGTATGCAACCGTACCAGGTGTCAATGTTTTGTGCTTGGGCTACTGCGTGAGAGACCTGCTCTGAATTAGTGAAGAAAAGCCAACGTAGTGTGGGTCGGTAGTGAAACGCTCTTCGTTTTGGGAGAGATCGAGCTGTTTAGAATTACCAATCAGGCTGTAGCCTCAATCAACCCACCTACTGAGCTGATGTCAACAAGTTGCTCCTGATGGAATTGAGTGCAATGACAACTTGTGAAGGGCTCTACGAAATGTGCGACACATGCATCTATGATAATGAAAGCTTTCAGGACTATCATGTATCTGAATTTTTCTAGTGTAGATTAACTTCTATTCTTATAATTGAATTGTTGAAATTGATATATTGTAATGCGACCGTCCCAGAGACACCGCCGTGAAATATTTTTTTGTAACATGAGAGACTTGCGTTTCGCGAATAGAGCCCAGGAATCTTGCCACTTTTAAAGGAGCAGAGTTATTAACAACGCGTATATAGACTATATATATATATATATATATAGTATATATATTATATATAAATTTCATTGAATGAATAAATATACATAATTCATTTACATCCCGGCCCTGCCGGTGTCCACAGCCCAGTACCTACCAGGGGGCCTGTCTTACTTCTCGGGTGTTCTTGGACACTGAACACTGCCCGGTGAGGTCACCGCACAAGCAGCCGAGGACGCCGCTGGAGCGATTTTATGTGTTAAGATAATTTTTAATCGCGCCTGCATTCATTCACCCTTCGCGAGTTGATCATCACTACCTTTCATGCCTTCTTTGTAATATAATTTTAGAGTGAGAATGAATTCATGTTCCATCATATTTTCTTTGTTACGCCGCATGGTATGTCTCGCCTGCCGAACTTGCCTCCCTAAATTAACAGGGACGCCGGGCAAGAATACAATCAAGCAGAGGGAGGCAAGTTGGGAGCTAGATTGAATCATGGACGTTTGGTGTACAATATGTTATTAACAAGTGGGATTGAAAGGCAAAGAGTATCTACGGTGCTCGATTATTTTTGCAATTACTGAAACCGTACTACATGTTCCGTAACTGTAATAGCGACTTATCTTCCAAAGACAGAAAAGTTTAAGTTTAAGAGGAATACTAAAAATGGGAGAATTTATCTAAACAGGAATGTTAACATTTGATGAGAGAGACAGAATCTTTCGTGCATCATAATACCTGACCTCTACACGGCGGACCCGTATTTACAGGGGCGTCAAACTGGAAGAGCCATGTCAGCACACCGGAACATGTCAAACGATTTATTGCTAATTATTTGCCATAATATATAATTAATTGCCACGCATTTTCATGATGAGAACGGGTGTCACTTGGATTGACGCGTCTCCAGCACATGCAAGAGTTAAATTCTGGTCGTAGCTCGACGGAAAACTTCAGATGGTTTAATGCTAATTAATTGCCACAATTTGGAATTAACTGCCACGTATCGTCGTGGCGTAAACAGGAGTGAGCACACACGCAAGTTAAATTCGGATCTTAAACTCGACGGAAACACTCAAATGTTTATTTCTAATTAATTTCCACGATTAGATTTAATTGCCTCGTATTTTCGGGGCGAAACAGGTGTGAGCTGGGCGTCATCACACTCAAGTTAAATTAAGGTAAAATCTGGCAGGTGCATAGAATCTCATCACCACATCCGCTCCACGTTCCTTAAAAAAATGGTATTTGGGGAAGAAGTTCCTGAAACCTATTTTTCTGAGATTTTTTGTTGTTCTTTCTAGATTCTTCATTGTGTCTGGAGATTTTCTCTCTATGTGGTGTGCAACCTTTTCCGTCCCCTTAACCAACGAAACCTCTTTCAAAGGTCAGGCAGTTTATTAAAAGTGCTAACATTTAATTCCAGATAATAGTGTATAATTGTAAACGAAGTGAGAACTAATTATTTGATATTCCTCTGTATGGATTGTTCTGCCTATAGAAGCATTTGTAGTTTTCCCGTGAATTCTCATTTTGTCATGCTAATTATCAAACCTCTTAACTCCATAGTCCCTCCTCTATTTTGTTTACTTCATGACGATATGTTTAGGGCAGATTAAGTCCTTCAAGAACGAACGAATGGCACGAGTCCGCCACGACAAGACAAATGAGTGCACCAGCGGTGATTGACGATCAGAAACAGTGTGTACCACTAGATACGCTACATCCAATCCTTATACGAATTTTGGGCAAAGAGAATTAGGAGTAGGATCGCCACCTTCATCCCACTTTTGTGCAAGGTGCAGCGATCTACAGGCCAACGCCGTGAATTCTCCAAAAATACTTCGGGTGTGCTGCCATCTGGCGATAGTTTCCGGAGTTTTTTCTGAACCGTAATACTCTATAGCTAGAAGTGCTCGCACCGCGGAATCAATTAGACGCGTGAACGAGGCCTCATAAGTAGTAATGTCCTGACCGAACCACACGAGGAGACGCAGCCAAGTTGTAGAGTCGGGCAACTGAGGACCTCACCATTTGGGCACTAAGGTGCCAGCACTTCGTCTGCGTCACCACTGCCAACGACCAGTTAACATGCGAATCTTTTATTAAATAAGCCACTGTCAGACTCTAAAACAATGTCGGAATGCGAAAGACGACAGGTGGTATTTGCATTGTATAACTACAATTAAGCAAGAAAAGAAATTTGGGATTAATAAAATGTTAAAAAAAGTGTGCATGTAATTTTCATGCAAAGTTAGCTTACGTTAATAAATAAACATTTTCCCACCTGGCATTACATGTTGTATGAAACAATTATATTGTTTAATTCATGTACATCCTCACATCATCTCCAACCCAGAGCTGCTCAAATCCCCGTGATCTCTAGAGCCGGAGCCACGAAGTCAAAGCCAGCACATCACACGGTTCTTAAAGGCGGCTCCACACATTCGGTATTCGCCGAGCGGCGAGCTACTCCTCGACCAATCCCGAACAGCTGATGTGTTCGGCACATGTTCGCTCCCTTTGAAGTGTCCTAATGACCGACACACGGTAGGGAGAATGAGCACCGAATATCTGTCACTCGGCAAATAGCAAGCAACCCATCCACACGACTTGGGATTCGGTTCGATTGCTCGCTACTCGCCGAATAACGAATGTGTGGAGCCGCCTTAATATCTGCGCGAGAGTGGTTTGCAGATCCGTCATGTGATACATGTATGCGACCAAGCTGGAAACACTACAGTACTGTCACTACAGTAACAGTAAAAATCCAAACACGCATATTTATGCAGAAGAATGAAATCGGTCAGCAGGGAGAGGGGAGGAAGCGAGGAGGCTTTTAGCAATGTGCGAAAAGGGAACTTGGTCCGTGCGGCGGTACGAGATTGTTGAATGATGAGGCAGGAGGTGGAGCGAAAAAAAACAAAACAACAACAACGATGGCGATTGTGCCGGTAAGTTGGATGCTGTTAGGCCACGAGCACTCCCCCATCAGTGTCTCAAGTAATTCTCTTACTGGCATGATACCAATTGGCTAATAAACATTCACGAAATAAATGCTGTTGGTTTTCATTAACCACACGCCCCTCGGGTAAGTAACCTCAGGATGTACCACGACCTGTACATCTCGCAGCCAGGCGCAGGTTAAGAAGGTAAGGTAGGTATTTAATGTAAATATCTGCTTTTAAAGATCGAGGAAATTTCCTGGAAATGAGGTGACAACAA